AAAAAAAAAAAAAAAAAGAAAAAAAAAGAGGCTCCTCAAAGTTATATACAAGACGGCAGGCAGCTTCTTGTGCGTGCCCCGCCCAGTATAAAGCTTAAGGTTGTATAAATATCTATCCTATATTTATGTGAGAAGGATTGTATAAATTTTATATTTATGTGAGAAGGATTGTATAAATTTTATGTCATATATTTAATTTTCTATATTCTATAAGTTTCATTTTTTTTTTTTTTAAATTTAGGAAACAATTTTTTCCAAATATCGAAGCAAATTACATATATATAAAATTAAAATATTTAAAATTTCAAAATATATATTTATGGAAGTATATTTAATATTTGTATATGTTTGGTTATTTTTTTTAGTTTTGTTATTGTTAATAAATTGTATATTGTTTTAATTAATTGTACATAGTTATTTGTTAGTATATATATGTTCGGTTTGGTACAATACCAAAATGTTATCGTAGCGCAACGGTTGAGCACCTCTCATTATACCAGAAGGCCAGTTGTTCGGTTCTCGACAGATGCAGTTTTTCCATCTTATTTTCTGATGAAACGACGTCGTTTCAGAGTTTCAAAACGACGTCGTTTAGACTCAACGGAGATTTCTAACAGAAATTTAACACCGTGATTGTCTGGTTAACGGAAATTTAACGGCATGCCTGAAATGGCCAAGTCAAACTAAACTTCACTATTTTGTCAAAAAGTCAACCTAAACTTTATGATTTAAATGACATTTCGAAAGTTCATGCTTTTTTCGTCCCAAATTTGAAAGTTCGCGAATTTTTTGACATTTTTCCCAATTAATATTTTAGCCAGTTAGTGTTAATTATTACAAATTTTATTGATGAAAATTAGTTTTATTTAATAGCAAATGATTTAACTAATTCAAATTAAGATAAGATAATATTATTATTTGTCACAAAATCATCAGAAATATTTTCCAACAAATATTTTGTTAGTAATTTCCAATAACTTAAAAGTTATTGCTTCTATCCAACAATATATAATATTTGTTGGAAAATTCCAATAATATTCATACAAATTATACAACGTAATTACCACAACTAAAATTTGTTGGATATTTGTAATGAATTTCCAACGATATAATATTTGTTGGAGATTTTCAACGATTTTCCTACAAAGTATGTGATGTAATTGTCACAATTATAATTTGTTGCAAATTTGCACTGAATTTCCAACAATCTAGTATTTGTTGGAAAATTTCCACAATTTTCCTATAAATTATGTGATGTACTTGCCACAACTTAAATTTGTTGGAAATTTACAATAGATTTCTAACAAATATAATAATAAACGTAATTTTATGGGATATTCATCGGAAATTTCCAACAAAATCCGATTGTTAGAAACATTTGTTGGAATATGCCATGTTTTCTAGTAGTGACAATTGGTTCGAAAGATGAAGAAATGGTTGGGAACCCAGGCTTCTATCAATATTGCTAAAGTCTTGTCTATCCAGGAGTTAATGAATTCCACGCCGAGGCATTATTATGATGAACACGGTATAGTTGGTCCTTTTATAGATAATGAAGTTGGAATTTTAAATGTTTATGCTCTTGCCCATCATTTTAGAGAGAGTGGAACAATATACGAAGAAGATTGTCCTATCACTGAGGAGCAGGTTTTCCTGGATGAGAGCACAACGATTGAGGTAAAATGTTCTCTCTCCTTCATTCTCTTCTCTCTTTGTTAAATTAACCTTTAATTAATGTTGTTTTCCCTTGATACATGGATGTGAGAGAATTATCCCAAGCATTTGTGACGTTCATTCTATCTATGATTACATAGGGGACTATGGTGGTGAGGATGGTGTATCAATGTTTCATCAAGAGTTGGAGTATCAGCTCAGGGAGGGAGGACCACTCAGTATTCAATTCGAAGTGTATCCTTCTTATTACACCACTCAGGTCAGGAATTGTATTTTAATTCTGCTTCTTAGTTTACTTTCATATATTTTCTAAAGCATTTGATTTCCCATCTTTGTTTTTGTGGATTAATACTTGATCTCAGAATCCCACTTGGTGGGACGGGTTATATTGGTAGTCTAGTAGATAAGGTAATATAACGGGACAAGTTTTAAAGAAGTTTTAAATATTATAATTCACATATTTAAAATCAATAAAAATTTTATAATATAAGAACATTTTAACATGTATAAATAGATAAAATAACATGGGACGATTATATTGCAGGACGGGGTTATATTGCAGGATGGAGTTATATTGCCGGACGGAGTTATATGACGAGACAAGTTTGAATCCAAAAAATTTAAAACATCATTAACCCACTGCTTCAATACTGTTAAATCTTCATTTTATACTTTTTTAACACCACCAATATTAGACATATCGAATGATCCTGATTAAAGTAAATTGTATAAAACAAAAATTGCCTTGTGATATACCGTTACTTAATAACAATTGTAAACTATAAAATATAAATGTCTTATAAAATAATACAATTTGCAAAAAAATTTACATAATATATAACCATTAAATTTTAAAATCACTAATTTTAGAAACAAATTGTCTTGCGATGTACCGCTGGTTAAAATCTAGTTTATGGGTATAACTCTTACTTTTTGCGTTAGAGTTTAGCTTTTTGGATTTAAGGTTTAGTAGTTTTTAATTTATATAAGGTTATGGCAAAAAGATAAATTATGTAGAATAGATAGACTAGTGGGAATTCCACATATATAAATTATAGAATATATTAATTATTTAAAAATTATGAAGTACACAATTTTTGGGGTTTGAGTTAGTTTACAAGGTTTAAGACTTGTTTGTTTGGTTAAGGTTTACGCTTTTGAGCTTAAAATTTACTATTTTAGATTAAGAGTTTTTTTTATTTAGAAGTTATGGTAAACAGAACAAAATAACATTTTATTATGTGTTTTACATATATATTGTATGTGTTTTTTTCTTAGTTACATATATTTGTTTCGAGTATATTTTGTTAGTTGAAGAAATTTAAACTGTAAGCGAAGTTGTTGATTGAGCCGCGCCAATATCTGTTGAGATGGTGATTGAACCGCGCCTATATTCCTTGCGCGAGAACGGTTTGGTCGTCGTTATTGTTGTTTCCAGTGGTTCCAACAAGCTCCGCCGCGTTGAACAGCTGCAATTTTGACTAAATGTTGCGAAGATTAATTTTTGATAAAGAGAGAGAAAGAGAGAGAGAAGAAATATAGAGTTGTTTTGAGTAATAAGAGAGATATAGTTAGAAAAAAAGAAGAAACTAGATGTAAAATGGGTTTAAAGGATTGTTAGAGGGTAAACTTGTAAAACACTATAAAAATATATGTAAAAATTCAAAAGTGTGTTAGAGTGTAAGTCATCTTTTAAAAGTGTGTTAAAATGTAAATTTCTCCCCATTAACAAAGTATGAGCTAATATTTAAAAAAAAGTATGTAAAAGTTCAAAAGTGTGCTATAGTGTAAGTCATCTTTTAAAAGTGTGTTGAAATGTAAATTTCCCCCTCTTAACAAAGTATGAGCTAATATTACAATCTAAATGAGCATAGAAAACATGTAGGAAAGAAGCCCTGAAAGCGATTCCACAGCTTTTTGTCAACATGTCTATTGATATTTTTACTTAACTGTTTCGCAAAAAGGTAAACTCGAACTTCGGTGCTTTTAATGGAATCCAAACAAAATTATGTGTTATTTTATCATCGATTTTAAAATTCTTACCAAAATCATTTGTTGTTGGTTCTATGATTTATAAATATTAGTTAAAATCATATGTTATTCGTTTAGTGATTTGTTGTTGGATTTTAATGGATTTGGATGTTAAAATACAAAGGATCAAAACTTCGGTAAACCATTTTATTTCAAAATCCACAAGTCTAATTTTAAAACCAATGAAGATTTCTAAATCTCATATAAATTAAAATGCATGAACCAATAAGAGCCTCTAATAATCCTATAGAGATGGAATTTTAGGCAAGTATTGACTTGTTTTCTCTGAAACTAGAATGTAGGTTTAGAAAAAGATTTTTTTTTGTATGTTCAAATTATCATATGTATAATTGCTCAGCCGCAGCCACAAATAAAGATCTCTCAATACATGTAGTCAGATATGAGAATTAGTCCAAAAATTTACCTCCTTCAATCCAAGATTGTTTAGACATCTTATAGTCCATGGTTACTTCATCTTCACTTCTTGGTTAATACACTAACAAAAAAATTAAAATTGACAAAAAATATTCACTAACGAATAATTAAAATTAAAATTGATGACGTGGCAGCTAGCTTTGTAAGATAACTTCGCAAACTGAAGGTCAGAAATTTGAAGAAAAGCTTTGAGCAGAAGAATTGTCCATGGTGCTCACCGTTCTCGGACCTCTCGCCGGTCGGAGTTTCGCAATCACCGGAAAACACAAACTGCTGCTTCTTCGTCCAACAAACCTCCCTCTTCTCCGTCTCTCACTCCCGCTTCCTCCTCCCCAATTCTCTTCTTCTTCTTCGTCATGCCGTCACAGTTCACCCAGTAAGTTCTCCTCTCCCTCTCGCTAACAATTTCAAGCTTAGATTTCAAATTTGTGTAAAAAATCTCTTCGAATTTTGTTTCAGTAGTATTCGCTGCACAGGAGAGTAACTTGAGTGTATCCAATGAAAATGAAACCAGTGAGTGGCTGATGCAAGGTACGTTGATCCATGAACATATTTCCCAGTGAATCTGAATACTTGTTGTTTTGATTTCCTGTGTTTATGCTTTCTTTTGTATCATTGGTGATAGATTTTTATACATTGAGGAAAGATGTTGAAATAGCATCAGCTCGTGTTGAAGAGATTAGAGCTTCTGCTGGTTTGGAGCAATTAGAACAAGAGATTGCTAATTTGGAATCAAAAGCTACTGATACCTCTTTTTGGGATGATCGTACTAAAGCTCAAGAAACGTTATCGGCTTTAAACGATCTTAAAGATCGGATGCGGTTACTCTCTGAGTTCAAAACCATGGTATTGTTCCATATCTATGTTTATGTTATGATGTTGAATTACGGTTTTTTGGCGAGGCGTTGAGATAATGTGTTGTTGCTTTTGATGCAGGTTGAAGATGCGGAAACTATTGTTAAACTAACGGAAGAGATGGACTCTACTGATGTTAGTTTACTTGAAGAGGCAATGGGAATCATTAAAGAGTTGAATAAATCTTTAGATCGATTTGAGCTAACTCAGCTTCTATCAGGACCTTACGACAAAGAAGGTGCTGTAGTCTACATTACAGCCGGAGCTGGAGGAACAGATGCACAGGTTATTATATTTGAGACTCCTTTCGTAAAGTTATAGGCATATAGACTGACTTCATACCAATGAGATAATCATGGAGTGTTTGTAATTTACTTAGAGGCTTTGTGTGTGTTTGTGATGTTAATTGAGCTCCTTTAAAAAAATGATCACTTCCAGTGCAGGATTGGGCCGATATGCTGCTTAGGATGTATATGAGATGGGGAGAGAAGCAGCGGTACAAGACAAAAGTTGTTGAAATGTCTAATGGAGAAGAGGCAGGGATTAAGTCAGCGACCCTTGAAATTGAAGGGCGTTATGCATATGGTTACATTTCAGGGGAGAAAGGAACTCATAGGATTGTTCGACAATCACCATTCAATTCGAAAGGCCTTCGGCAGGTAAAATAAGCTATGCTATAAGCTCCAAAAGAATATGTGGTTGTGTGCTATACACTTATATTGGTATTTGCACGCAGACAAGCTTTTCCGGTGTGGAAGTGATGCCGCTTCTGCCTGAGGAAGCAGTGGGAATTGAAATACCAGAGGAGGACCTTGACATTAGTTTCACGAGGGCAGGTGGGAAAGGAGGACAGAATGTCAACAAGGTTGAAACTGCTGTTCGGATTACTCACATTCCTACCGGTGTTGCTGTCCGTTGCACCGGTTTGTCTTTCATCCCCACGAATGTTCGACCTGAATAGCCCGTATGATCCATTAACGATCCCTAGGGGTTCAAAGTAGATACATTCTGCTCTTTGTAATTCCATTTATCATGTTGGATGTTGCAGAGGAGAGAAGTCAACTGGCGAACAAGACGAGAGCTCTGATCAGACTAAAGGCGAAACTGTTGGTGATTGCGGAGGAGCAACGTGCTACTGAAATCAAGGAAATAAGAGGAGATGCAGTGAAGGCTGAATGGGGACAGCAGATCAGGAACTACGTGTTTCATCCGTACAAACTGGTTAAGGATGTCCGAACAGGTCATGAAACTTCTGATATCACATCTGTAATGGATGGTGACTTGGACCCTTTCATCAAAGCTTACCTTAAGCATAAGTACACCTTAGCCATGGCTTCTGCTGTAACCAATTAGAATGTTGTTGATAGGCTTCTTCCTTGTTATAGATAGAATCATCTCCCTCCTAGACTGTTCAATTTTACAGCATAATCTTAAATTCCAACAGATAAGCTTAATGTGAGATTGTGAGTCATGTCTGTTTGTATCTAAATAAAACCGCATTTTGTTCTACACGAAACGAAACATAAAACTAATCATAACCACTACCAAACCATATAAAAAACAATTGAGGGTAAATAAAATTTCGTCATCTTCCATATCTCAAATCAAATTTCAAACATAAAAACCGTAACAATGGGCACTTGATTTTCATCGAAGTTGTGACAATGGGATGATGAAAGAGGGAATTAAGTGAAAGATAAGTAGTGTGAAGTTGTGCTTCATGGAGACTTGTACATAAGTGAACAAGTAATTCGATTTACATAGCGGAGATACATAGTCTAATATTTTAATAAAATTATATCAAATTAAATTTATGTAGATACTGTTGTCAAAACGAAAAAAAAAAAGAAAAAGAGAAAAAAACAAAGATTCTGTCGCGTAAATACTACAAAACTCCAAAATCATTGTGTAAGACGTATCTTAAATTTCTAAATGACAAAATTTGGCGTTTTCTCTCATAACCAAAATAAATGAAATGGTTTACCAACGACAACCACACCAGTCCCATTCACAAATCATTCATAACCAAAATCATCGGTGTCTCATTTTGTCACGTCTCTTCTAAAAAAATGGGAGAAAACGGAGCCAAGCGATGGAACTTCGGAGCTAACGAGGTCGTTGAACGATCTAACTCACTTACCATTCGTGATTATCTTAATACCTTAATCAGTAGTCTCGACGGTGGTGACGTAAGGCCAGTCATCCCTCTCGGACACGGCGATCCTTCTCCGTTCCCGAGCTTTCGTACCGATCAAGCCGCTGTTGAAGCCATCTGTGATGCTGTCCGTTCGACCAAGTTTAACAACTACTCTTCTTCTTCCGGTGTTCCTGTCGCTAGGAAGTAAGATTACTTCTTCTGTTTGGCTTTTTTCTTTTCTTTTGATATCTCTTAGGGTCTCTGTTCTTGCTTCCTGATTACTCAAAGATAATAATCTGAAATGTTTAATTGGTTAAATCATTGAGATCTTTAGATTTAGTGATTAATGCTTACATGATTTCAAATCTTTCTTGATCACATTTGCAATGTAGCCCGAATTTGTATCAAGCTTTTGAGAAAGGATTGATGATTTGGTTGGTTCTGTTTCCATCTTTCAATAGGGCTGTTGCAGAGTACCTCTCTCAGGATCTCTCTTACCAGATATCACCAAATGATGTTCATATCACAGCTGGTTGTGTGCAAGCCATCGAAATTTTGATATCCGCTCTCGCAACTCCTGGAGCCAACATTCTGCTTCCTAGGCCTACTTACCCGATGTATGATTCCCGAGCGGCTTTCTGCCAACTCGAGGTTCGTTATTTTGACCTCCTACCGGAAAATGGTTGGGATGTTGATCTGGATGGAGTTGAAGCTCTTGTGGATGAAAAAACCGTTGCTATAGTTGTTATCAACCCTTGCAATCCATGTGGGAATGTTTTTTCTCGCCAACATCTTCAAAAGGTTTACACTTGCTTCTTATTATTCATTTGATATTTGGTTTATTAGTGGAAATGACTTTGTTATGGATTTTGTCCTCTTTATATGGTGGATGAAGATTGCAGAGACAGCTTGCAAGCTTGGTATACTTCTGATCGCAGACGAAGTCTATGACCATTTTGCCTTTGGGGACAAACCATTTGTATCCATGGCAGAGTTTGCAGAGATAGTACCTGTGATTGTGTTAGGCGCCATATCTAAAAGATGGTTTGTTCCTGGGTGGAGACTTGGTTGGATGGTGACTCTTGACCCTCATGGCATCATGAAAGATTCTGGGGTTTGTTTGTTAACAATTAAGTTGCATTTTGTTCACTTAATTAATATCTTTTCAAGAATGTATTTGTGAACAATCTCTGTTTCTTTGTCTATTAGTTTGTTCAGACTCTTATCCATGTTGTCAACCTGTCCACGGAGCCTGCAACGTTTATTCAGGTATGTTGATGGGATGCATTGGTGTTGAATCATGGCTGGTGTTTTTTGAAGAAAAATTATTTTTATTTTTATATTGTCCGAGGCAGGGTGCAATGCCTGATATCATTGAGAATACAAAGGAAGAATTCTTCGCATCAAAACTCGAAATGGTGAGAAAATGTGCAGAGATTTGTTACGAAGAGATTATGAAAATTCCTTGCATCACTTGCCCCTGCAAACCCGAGGGGTCAATGTTCACGATGGTAATGAATCAAAAGGAATCAGATTACTCATTGGTCAACCTCAAGCTCAAGCTCATAGGCTTATCCCTTTTTTGGTGCAGGTGAAGTTAAACCTTTCGCTACTCGAAGGTATCAATGATGATATGGAATTCTGCTCCAAGCTGGCTAAAGAGGAGTCTATGATCATCCTACCAGGTAATATTATAGTTTTGTTAACAAGTTGACAGCTAGGGGTAGTTAAAATAACAGAAAATCGATGCGTTTCTTGCAGGCCGCGCTGTTGGGCTCAAGAACTGGCTACGTATCACCTTCGCAGTTGAGCTTGAGCTTCTCATAGAAGGTTTTTCCAGGCTAAAGAACTTTACAGAGAGACACTCCAAAAAACAGCCATGAGAATTGAGACTTTCTCTCACTATCCACAGCCAAAGCAAATTAGATTTTGCTTAGAGGCTTATTACATAATACTGTTGGCTTTATAAAACATTTGCACAAAACAATGAATCAGTCATGCCAAGAAGCCATGACCAATAGATATCTAGCATTCTCCACAGGCAAAGAAAATTAAATTTCACAAAGAGTAAGCTGATGTCAATTAGAATTGGCAATTTTAGTTGGCTCGTAGAGTCAGTATCTCCTCTGTTGTTCTTAACATGAAGTATGAAGTATGTACATGTCCTTCTGCAAAACATAGAATCAATGAAGACAACGAAAAGAAAAATAATTCTTAAGACATGTTTAGGAAGAATGCCGATAATGCGATATTGAAATGAGAGCTAAGCAAACTCACTATCAAATCATCTAGAGGTGACAGGTTTGAGACAGGTTATTTGGAAGACATTAGCAAATGTCCAGCTCTGTAATTGCGTTGATAATCTTTCTCTTCTCTCTCGGAAAGCTTATATATTATGCATTGCCAATTTTCAATAGACCAGCTTTTATTTTGTTCTCTTGCTGAATCTTTATTTATGCATCCATCGATAGATAATATATAAGTAGAGGTGTGTACAATTTGTTCTTGTCTCAAATGAAAAGCAACAAAAATCTACAAACCTCCAAAAATCTTCAGGAAAAGTTTTACAAACAAATCAACAGAATTTTTTTTATTTTTTTATTTTAGTAAAAGGGGTCCAAAATTTTTTATTTTATTTTAAAACATGTAGTAATATTGGGGCCAATTTTTGTTTCCTTTCAAAAACTTGAAAAATTTAGCTGTATTAATGGTTTTTGTTTTATTGGTAATTGAAATAAGACAAGTTTGGGATAAAAAGATGATTAGAGGGATCAAGATTGAAGTAGGAGGCAGTACCTCAGGGAGTGCAGGTCAAGAAGAATAAGAAAATTCGCCACGAATTTTTATCTGGTGATGTAAACTGTAAAACACAGCAAAATTTTAGGATTCTGGTGAAATAGAAGTTTATGTGGACTTTTATATGCTAAGTTTGCTTTGGATATGAGCAGTGTTTTAACCCAAAGTTGTGTTAAGTAAATAATGAATTATATTTTCTCATTCTAAAGAATTAAAATTCAATAATTTCTTAATTTTTTTCGCAAAAAACATATAGCACATTGCATAGTTTTAAAAAATAAATCTCAGTTTGTGTGTGGGGTTGTAGTTGTAAACCGTAAAATTCAAAATGAACCAAGTTCTTCAGGTTGTACCCATTTTCATATTCCACGTCAGCATTATCTCCAGAAACCAAAGATTATCAACCTTACGCTGGAATCGATCACAAAATTCACAATTTCGGTTCACAAAAACAGAGCAGAGAGATTGTGTGATGACGACAGTGACCAGCAGCTTCGTCTCTTTCTCGCCGGCGCTGCTCCATGTGAGTGAAAATTCAGCAACATTCATCATTCAATCTCTCCCTTACATAACCTCTCTCGAAATTGATGATTTTTCAGGCGAAGAAATCTCGACGATCCTTTCCCAATTTCCGAAATCGCTCCACGTCTCTTCCCATAGTTTCAGCATCATTAAGCCACATCGAAGAAGCAGACACAACAACAAATCTCTATCCCAACATTCGACAGACCAATTCGATTTCGGATTCGTTGCGTAACATTTCTTTAGCAGATTTAGATCCAGGAACTGCGAAGCTCGCAATTGGTATCTTAGGTCCAGCTTTATCAGCTTTTGGATTTTTATTCATCGTGAGAATTGTCATGTCTTGGTACCCGAAACTTCCCGTTGACAAGTTTCCTTACGTTTTAGCGTACGCTCCGACAGAACCAATCCTTGTTCAGACCAGGAAAGTGATTCCACCACTTGCAGGTGTTGATGTAACTCCTGTGGTTTGGTTCGGGCTTGTGAGTTTCCTTAGTGAGATTTTAGTTGGTCCTCAGGGACTTCTTGTTCTTGTTTCTCAACAACAAGTTAGCTAAGATTGAATCATTTTGTGCCTATTTTTGCTGTTTTTCTTATAGAGAAGTCTACTTGTGGCATATAACGTTATATTCCTACATTACTCACTCATATGATTGTTTGGCTCTGACATTCTTCTTGCGTGATACCGATAACGATTTCATGTCATAACAAACAATATAATCGAGTCGAGATTCTTGAAAGCTATATATTGATGACAAAGTTATTGGTAAGCAAATAGAAGAAGAACCCAAGTTGCGACTTTGAAGAGCCATTCATCAAGATAACGGACACCGTATCTGAAAATCGAAAACTAAAAGATAACACGAATGTGTACAATTTTGGATGAATGAACTAGCAACCACTTTCTCCACCCAGTTTTACATCAAAATGATACTAAACCTAAGAATCATTAGCATACAAGGGAAAAACATGTAACTCTGTTGGGGAAAAAGGCCTTTGGCTCATATCGCATCGGATTCAAACCATCCGAGTTTTTAATCTCTTTGTGAGTCATCCAAAGACCTTGTAGTCTCGGTGTTATGATCAAGACAAATTAGCTATGTTATACCGATAAGAAGAGACTCTAGGTTGCGAAAACATGAGCGAAATCTTTTATTATTATCCATGAGTCAACGATTACAATAAAGACTTGAGACCAATACACTCTTAATTCTTATGTAGGCTATTGGACTAACTTAGCAACAACCAGTGATCCATCAAGTTTCAAACTTTGACTCAAGATTGAGGAAATATTCTTATAGGGAGACCTTTACCTGGTATTGGTAAGGGATCAACCACTATTTTATTTTCTTTTGGAAATACTTTTTCCCACTTAAATCTCTTAACAAGATTGTGCATAAATATAAGAATTTCTAGACGAGCATACTCTCTCCCTGGACACATCCTTGGTCCTCCTCCAAATGGAACATATGTATAAGCCTTCGGACCACTTCCTTCAAATCGTTTTGGCTCAAATCTCTCTGGTTCTGGGAAGTAGTCTGGATTCATATGTGTCGCGGTGGCACTCCAATATAACTATGTTTATGATCAACACATATACGATTTAGTGCATGAGCTTGATATGTATGTCAATATGTTTAAAAGGTTTTGGAGTAACCTTTACCTTCCATCCTTTGGGGATGTAAAAACCTTTAAAAGAGATGTGATCGATGGCCTCACGAAAAGTGCCAGGAAGAGGAGGAACAATTCTCATCACTTCACATGCAACATTCCATGAATATCTCATTTTCTCAATGTCCTCCCACCTTAATCCTTCTTTTTCTTTCTTTTCATTTAGTATCTCCTTTTGCTCTGCAATTCCTTAGTGTGAGTACATATTTTTCGTGTAAACTTAAAACTAAGACATAAAATCTACCAGCCGACATGAAGTTCTATATTTCGAGTTGGATCATGCATGAACGTCGATGATACCAATAATACAAAATAACAAAGCTAGCTAGCTTTTCTTACATTTATGATACTGGTAATATTGTAGATTCATTTCATAGCTTTTCTTTTTAATTTTTACAACATGCATTATGTGGATCAATAACGACATGCACTCTGCAGGTTTAAATCCGGATAAACCAATATGTCACATGCATATTCGGTTCATTTTTAGTTATAATATGTAATGTTTCTTACAAAAAGAAGTCGTAAGATATGGATCCTAAAAAATGTCGTTTTATTATTGAGGAAGCTGTCGTGAAGGAACGTACAAAGAAAATGAAAAAGTGGTGTACCTAAACATATTAATGTATTCAAAGAATAACACAAGAGGGAGAGGGAAGCGAGTACCTTGTAGCACACGTTGGTAGACATGAGAGAATTCAGCAAGATAATTGACAACAAAAGTGCATACAATACTGGCTGTGTCATGTCCTCCGATTAACAATCCAATAATTTTATCAGCCAAATCCTCGTCTTTGGTCTCTCCTATATTCATCAACATGTGAGATAATATGTCATGTTCCTCTAATGCTTTCCCGGATTTGAGCTCTTCTTTCCTCTGCCTTACGATCGCGGAAACCTCTTTTCTGAGTAACCTCGACGCCTTGATAGCTCGGTTAAACCGTGTTCCTGGCAAGTCTATTGGGATTGAGAAGATCCCTACCGCTACTGTATTGAATTGCTCTTCTAGTTGCCTTACCCTTGCGGGGTCGTCCATGCTCAGAAACGAACGGCATGCTATTGAAAACGTGAACCTGATTGAGATTTTTCATTAGTCATGAAATAGTTTTTTTTGCTTGCATTTACAAAATATTTAAATTTGTTTTTTTTTCAAGACTATACTATTATTGGGAAGATAAGAAGCAAATTACATACTTTTTGGTGAGAGGGAAGACAATGAGTTGATCATGATTGGCCCATTCCGTCTCAAAATGTCTTTGAGCAATCTCATCCATAACACCAACATACCTCCTCAAAGCCTCGGGCTTCATGAACTGCGAAAGAAGCATCCTCAGCTTCTTGGCCTCTTCCTTGGAGCTCGTCTGCATTGAAGAAGGGAAGATCTTATTGACCGAATCTGGCCACCACGAGACCACAAGCTTGTTCTCGTTGGTGAATAGAAACTTGTTCCCAGAGGCACCAGTCACCACCGCGGTGGGAGACCCAAAGAGGTGGGTCTTGAAGACACATGAGGAGGATGAGGAAGAGAAACGACGCACTCGGTCGGTGATGAACTTCTCTGGATGGCCTTGACGGCCAGCAGAGAGGAAGGAGAAACTCTCTCCGATTAAGGGAAAGCCGGTCTTTCCCGGAGGAAGGTTGGGATATGAGAAGTTTGATAAATGTTTTCTAAGGAGTAATAGGAGAGAAATAAGAATGGAGCTAAGGAAGAGGAATATGATTGTCATGATGTACATATTTTTCTTTTTGTTTTCGGCTTGTTCTACTTTTCTTTTGTTGGGTAGACAAAGATTTATAGACGTAGGTGACGTGAGTTTGGGCTTGACTTTGCGTACAAATGCTTTTGAAAATTTTCCAACGTACAAAAGCCTGTCCTAAATGTACATAAGTTTACATGTGGTTGGTTCTTAAGATTAGTTTTGGGTCTTAGCTAAGCCACTTTTCTTAGTTTTGGGTCTTAGCTAAGCCACATTTCTTACTTAAGAACTCTTTAAGATACCCTTGTTAATGGTGGTCTAAGTGTCTATAACCAACTAGCTTTGTTATTTTTTCATCTACTATACATTTTTGCAGCAGTTTTTGGGGTACCCAAATCGGGTCAAATTTGTTTAATTTTGACCCGGAAATCTTCAATCGGATCTTTCCTTAAATTTTGGCAAAATTAAAAAACGAAAATAATTAATAAAATCTAAAATATATATACTTTCTCAACTAATTACTATATTTAAACGCTTTATTTATGGTATATTCTCCACGATTTTTATAGATAAAGAAATCAAATATGATGATTTAATGCTAATATAACAAATTTGCACTAATTTCCTAAAACCTCTCTACCTAATTTAAACATAAATATATGATTCTTATTTCACTTTTATTTGATCTTATATTTATATTATTTTAAATTATTATAAAATATATAAATAGTTAGTAAATTTTAGTTTTTTTTTTCTGCATATGTTACAATTCAAATTTTTTAAAACGGACATATATTACTCAATCGATGAATAAAAATATGTGTGTAATCTATATTAACATTTTTAAGAACAAATTGAGCATTTAATCATGTCGTTATTTTATTCAGACCCGAAATTGAGTCATTCGCATCTTTCTTTAATTTTTACAATTATCTAAAATGGGACAGTATATCACGGGTGAAATCCTAATTAGTATTTTAAGATACAATTATAAATTGTTTTTACGGGTTGGTCCAAAAACACACACTAATTTAAAAATATACATGGAAACTATTTGAAAGCAACTTTCAAATTAACTCGAATTATATGACATTTAAATAAAAGTGTTATTAAAAAAATAACAAAATGATGTTTAATTTCATTTTAGATTATATGGTTGGACGGGTTTGGGTCAATATTAATACGAGACAATATAACACAGGTGAAATCCTATAAATAACAAATCAAAATACAATTATACAATCTTAAACACTAAACAAAACAAATACAACTTAAAATTTTTTTTTTTAGATACAACGCATGTGACCCGCGGTATACAACAAAAAATATTATACACAATAAATTCATCAATTTATAAAAATAAAAAAATCAAATAATTAACCCGCGGTGTACCGCGGGTCATATCCTAGTATTATACTCTAATCAAAAATCACATTTGACCAAACCAATTAGAGATAAGAGAAATTAGGTGGAACGGATGGTTACTAATTCATAAAATGGTTTAAAATTAAAATGGATGTCCACTAGAAAATCCTCTCATCTTCAAGTTTATCTTTCTCATTTCATTTTCTAGTGGATTTTGAAATATCTTGAACCCCTCTCATTTTTTTTTTCTTTCCGTAAAAATAGATCTACTCTCACCTAAAAGTCTAAATCTGTTATAATACATCATATTGGACTTATAACCGGGCCCAATAAGCCGATTAGAGTTATTCATTATGTATTCTAAAATCCTAAGTTTATATACCTACTAGATAAGGACCCGTCCGATGGACGGGTTTATTTAAAAAAAAATTAAAATTAAATTTAACATATAATTAATTAACAACGTTGTAAGTAGAAATTTTCTTTCAAAAGTAAAAACAATATTTACTTTTTCACTGTTGCCTTGTTTCTTTAACCACTAAAATTATTAATTCAAAATTATTTCGAATGAAAGATATATCACATAACAATAATTCATGGTATACTTATATGAAGAACAAAAATTAAAAATATTTATCATAAAGTTGGTGAATAAAACCAAAGTGGTATTTAATTAGACACGTTAAAGATATAAAGATGATAAATCGACTAAATTCTTTAGCCTTCCAAGCTAATGTTGCGGGTTCGATTCCTATATATTCGATTGCAATAACTTTATGATCAATCAATAAAAATTAATAAATTCAAAAAATTATAAGCACGATGATATATGAATATTATATAATTCAAATATGAACATAGAAATTGAAATAAACAATTTTGAAATAGTATAATTAAATTCAAAATATCAAAAAC